TTGCACACAAGCACTACTTGGAAAGCGTGCCTCAGGATCCCAATCTGGTAACAACAGCGGACGCTTCCCTCTGCGATACTAAAACTATTGGGGATAATTCCCAGCCCTCCACTTGGAAGAGGCTTCCTGGCTGGGACTAGTACAAGGTTAGAATTGGGGCATGACAGTAGAGCTCTGTGAAGAAACTCTTGCCTTCACTTTTACCAGTGTCTAGAAAGGCTGTTTGGCTTGCTGGTCATTTTAAATTCCATTTTTTAAAACAAAATAAAAAATTTCCATAGTATGGCTTCTCTCCCTTCCATCAGAAAGATGAATAATTAGTGTCTTGTGTTTATCTGTGTGAGAGTATAGTGGAAAGTGGAAGAATGACTTATCCTAGCTTCAGAGAAGGACTGGCAAAACTGAAAACGTGACTTGTTTGAAAGTCTTACTCTCAAGTGGGGTTAAATGAATTATTCCACGCTCTACTGTTGTATATTTTGATTATGTTTTGCTTTTTCATGGCCATGATATCTTCCTCCCCTCATTTTTCAAAAAGTGTTTTGGAGTTTGTGGTCAATTCATGGAGTGTTTTTAAGATTGATTCCCCCCACTGCCTTTCAGAAAGCCTATTCTGTAGCTCAAAGGGGTAGAATTTTCTGTCTGTTAAAAATACAAGGCCAGTGTTGTAACCACTTACTAGTAGTATATAACCCCTTCTTCCATGAAGGCTAAGCGATGCAGCTGGTAGTAAGTATTTGCAAGCTTAAACTCATAAATTCTTAACAGATCTGTGCATTGGTGGGAGCTTTAAGCCCTCGTTAGTAGGATTATAGCAGCATCTTGAATATTTTCTAAAAAATTTAAACAAAAATCACCTAAAACTTTAAGGGTCTCTAACTTGAATAAACCCTGCTGCCTACCTTCCAGGCAGACTTCCCTGCAGGTTTGGGGATTGGCAGCTCTAAGATTGATGTCGGTTATGTGTAATGCTACACATTTTGCTTTTATTGGAATCTATCTCTTCAGTCATCATCATCATCACTGCCTGTTTTATCATAGATATCTTATTTTGCCATAAATCACATGAAGTGTGTGCTTCGCGTATAGCAGCATTTTACCTCTGTGAGAATCTGTATTTTCACACGTGTGATGGGAAGAAGCCAGTTCGGAGTCTGCAGTGAAGCCTAGAGCAGCAGCAGCAGCTCTCCATGCTCTTCCACTCTTTCAGCAGTGGAGAATACACATGCTCACTTACTTAGTGATACATACTTAAAGATGTTTTTTCAAATCCTGCTGTTCTTTCTTGATCGTCTTTTCTTTCCATGGGGATCTGCCTCGCTCCCTCCTTTGTTCATCGTTGCAGGTGTAGCCGTGCCTGCTCCTCAGAGAGACCTCGTTAAGCCTGATGGGGCTCTGCTCCTGCTTAAACAATTTTTCCCTTTCTTTTCGGCATAGTCTGGCCCGAGACTGTCAGACCATAGGTTTGAGGTAGTTCCTCAGCACGGTGCAGTATCGTCTTCTTGGGTGTTCAAAAGGGAGTATAGGCTCGACTGAGGTTTCAGGAATGCTCATTCTGTGCAGTGACTGTGCCACCGACAGATGGGCATGTACAAAGCCTTCAGTGTTTAGGACCTTTTACTTTTGTCCTCACCGTATGAGCACTGAGAAACCCTTTCTTCTCAAGCTAAAAAGGACAGGATGAGAGAGCCGGCGCTTTCCCAGCGGCTTGATGCCGTACCCCCAGGTGACCTTCAGGGGGAACCTTCCTGCCTGTGCACGGTGCCTGCGCATCACACGATTGCATCACCCGCAGGATTTATTTATTTCTCCTCTCCTGGTCCATTCAGAGCTCTCCGAGTTCCCCTCCTCCCTCGGCGTTTCGTAGGGTCTGGAGCCCTTCCCACATCTAGCGGAGGAGCATTTTTGGCCAACTTGAAATGGTTAAATTGTTAGGCATCTCACATCAGGCTCAAGGATGAGGCCAGCTGTAGCCCAAGTCTTCAGAAAGAGCAGTACATTCAAGAAACACAGCTTTCAGCCTGCTATTAAATTAAGAGAAGAGGATTTCAAGGAATCCCCCGTGGCTTGCTGGTGTCAGAAGGCACGTTTGCTCTTCCCGAGATCTAATATAAAATGTTAAGTGACGCTGAGTGTTGGACTCAGAAGTCTGTAAGGGTGTAGTCACCTCGCCTGCCGCTTGTCTAGAAAATTAGTGCCAAAGAAATCTGCTGTCCTGTCAAAACCCATGTTGATTTGGCTCTGTAGAGGGAGCTGCCAAAACACTTAGCAAGTATTTGCATCCACATTTACTGGCAGCATAAGAATTTGTATAGTAAAACGATGGAAAGTGTTACAAATCCTCTCAAGTCTTAGGAGGACTATCAGAGGCAAAGACAAAAAACAGTGTCTTCTGCAGAACACTTGAAAAATGGCAGCCTTAATTCTTTTCTTAAGTCCATGTATAAATTTAGCTACGTAATCAAATATCTTCTCGTAGCACAGAAATTGAACAAGCAAGCCAGGTGATTCTTCTCCCTATTTCTTTTTTTCAAAAGGGTGTAAAAGAAGTTAGTGGGACTTCTGTCAGTTCTTTTGTTAGAAACAGTTTTTTCAAAGCTTGTGTTGAAAAGGACCCAGAAATTCCTGGTCCCTGGCTGACATTTCTGTATATCTGCCATTTCTAACAGATTTTTCCCTAAAAGGGTTATAGTATTTTAATACCTGGCTAGAGGAGTTTTGTAAGAGGCAGGTGATTCCTGACCTCTGTTGCAGCTGGCCCTCATGTGAAGAAGTTAGAAAGCCTCAAATTGAAATAGCCCTTGAATTCCCAAACGTACTGCAAAAATTAAGCAAATTTGCCACAGATGCAGTCTGTTAATTATGCAAGTGGCGTCCTTGAGATTAAATGAAAATCAGGCTTACGGTCCTGAGGCAATTGTCTCGTTTTGGTTACATTGTTGTAAAGCTGGAAAAAATGCACCGACTTTCACAGAGTTGCTGTCGATCTAGATCAATATAGATGGAGCAGAGTCTGAGCCTCATGTATCTTTGTGATATGTGGACTTCAAGATACCATGTTTTTCTGTGTTTAATTCTCAGGGAGCTTTAGCAGCAATGCTTGTCTATTTTGTCTGCCTCTCATGTTGGACTGATGGCTGCTGGGGCAATTGACTCAGAGCGGCAGCTTTCCTTACGCCCAAAAATGACCTTAAAGGTGTCGGAGATGATTTCTCAGCAGCAGCCAGGCTACAGGGTTACGTGCAGGTTGTTTTATAGTGGAGGGTGCACACAATGCGACCTGAAGGCTCTCACGAACAAGACTGTGCTTGTCACAGCCTGGACATCGAGGTGGCAGTTTAGAACTCTGAGCAAGCAAGAAGGAACGAGTACAGAAGCCCTGGGCCAGAAAGCTGGCTTTTGGGAGGAAAAATATGACAACAACTTATCAAAAACCGATATTCACATTGGGGGAATTTCTTATTAATACGTTGCGAGGAAGGTATTGCAGTGAGCATCCCAAATGTTATTGTGGATGGGCCAAGCTGAAGCCCTTCTTAACCGCTTGGCTGAGGGCTCGACCAGCCTCCTGAGAAAGATGTTCCCCATATGGGAGAACCTCTTGATTTCCCCACAGATACGTCCAACCCTTCAAAAGTGCTGTGAGACGGCTTCTTCCAAAACATGTTTGTTCCCTCTTGACCGCCAAGGATTGCTGGTCTGGTGTGTTTTCACCAACTTCTCTTACTACTGCATTGTGAAAAGCCAGGATCTCTTGTGCTGTTCACACTTGACATTGCTGGCCTGACGCTTTCAGCATCTGGGGAGCTGTGAAAATGAAATTACTTTGTCCTCTACAGTGGCCTTTTTGTATGCTCTGCAAACTGCTCAGGGTTAGAAGGGTTTTCTTAGAAAATAGTTCTCTTTTGAGATACGCTTATTACTTTATAACTTTTCTCTTGGAAAAAGATCATTATGTTTCCACATAAACCAGCCCCCTGGTTGTCCTCTCTCACACTGCTGGAGGGAAATGCAGAAACGGCCTTTCTCCCTCCAGTCAGAAACCCTGACAAATTGCATCATCTTGTGGGACACAATTTGGAAAAGGGACGCAGTTTAGCACAACATTACTGGTTATTTTCCTTGTGATAGAGCAAAATGTGAAAAGGGTCTTAGTACCTCTGGATTATTATATCTCAGGCACGCGCTTTTCCCCCTTCAATCTCCCTCTTGCCCTCCCGGCCCCACCAGAACATGCTCACAAACGATTTTTGAAACTTCCAGCTGCAGGAGCGTACAAGTGTCAGATGTTTTTGTCTTCATGACCTTACCTCAAAAGAAGCATCTTGCAAGTTGTTCTGCCCCTTCCCCAGCTGCTTTGGTGGATGCTAGTGTCGAGGGGGCTGCAGCAAGGCTGCCCAAAATATCACGGGGAGGGTGAGCAGAGCCATTCCCAGGGTGCAGCATCCCCTTGGGTCCCTCTGGGTGCTGTGATTCAGTGTCCTCCCTGATGCATACTATATAAATATGTAAATATTTTCATATTACACATATAA